AACTCTGCGGCTCCCTCCCTCTATCCCCCCGCCTTGCCCCCTTCCCCCCCTTTTCCTTCCCCATCTTCAGGTCCCGCCTGGAGAGCGCCCCCTTCGACTGGGCTTAGGGTCAACCCTCCTACCCTCCACCCACCCCCCCCCCAACCCCAACCCCACGCCCTCCAACCCCTCCTGATTCCCGACCCCCAGCTCGAGTCCAAACCCCCGAGGGTCCAGCGCCTCGGGACCCCCTCCTGAGGTGAAGGGCTCCGTGTAAGTGTCCGGTGCTGTTGTTGTTGTTGTTGTTGTTGACTACGGGCAGAGAGAGAGAGAGCTGACGACTCACCTGAGCCACACACCACAAACACAAAGAGAGCTAACAACCAGGGAGCCACCGGTGCCTTCTCCTCCTGTAGCGGCCTCTGCGACAAACGAGGGCGAGAGTCAGCCTTTCATCTCCCGGCCCCTCTCCCGCCTCCCCGGTCCCCTGCATTGACCCCCACCCCCCCACCACCACCCACCCACCCCAACCCCACCCCCCCGCGCTTTCAGCAGCTGCGCCCCGAAACTCTTGTCGCTCTCTGCCGCTGCCTTGGGTGAGTGAGTGGGGGGTGGTGGGTGGGGGTGGGCTGATTTAAATGCAAGTTGTTGTCGCCGATCTCCTCCCGGTTCACTCAGGCCGACGGGGGGAAAGGCTTTGGGGGGGGGGGGGGGTCCTAGCAGTGGGAAAGCTTGGCCAGACAGCGCTCTCTCTCTCTCTCTCGATGGCCAAGGTTACAGTATTTCATGCAGCGCCTCATCATGTCTCGAAAGGCTTCACAGAATATACTGTGAAGCGTAGTGGCTGTGCCTTTTTGCGGACGAAATGCGACAGAAGGCCATTGCGCACAGCGACATCCCCACGAACAGTCAGGGATCGAGTGACCAAAATTATTTTTTTTTAAGGGACGGTTACCGCCCGGAAAAGTGATTCCCCCCAATAATAATAATCCCTGCATTTGATACAGCGCCATATCACGCGTTTCGGCTACAAAATATACAGTCACTACACTTTACAGTATAGCCGGTGCAGCGCTTTGAGACGTCTCGAAGACGTGATAAGGCGCCATATCAAATACAACAATTATTATTTTATTATATTATCATATTATATGATTATATATTATCATATTATAATATTATACTACTGTTATATTCTTATTATGTTATATATTATTGTATTGTTCTTACACTATAATATCATTACAGTTCAATTATATTATTGTTATATATTATATTGTTATATTATATTAAATTATATTACGTTGATTACAATTGTATTATATCATATTGTTATATATTATATTGTTATATTATATTGTTATTATATTATATCATATTGTTGTATTGTTATATTATTATATTATATTGTTATTATGTTATTATATTGTTGTATTGTTATTATATTATTATATCATATTGTTGTATTGTTATTGTATTATTATATTATATTGTAGTATTGTTATTATATTATAACATATTGTTGTATTGTCATATTATTGTATTATATTGTTGTATTGTTATTATATTATTATATTATGTTATATTGTTATTATATTATTATAATGTTGTGTAGTTATTATGTTATGTTATATAATTATTATATTATATTATTATAGACGGTCTGTGGCTGAGTCTGTGCTGAGGTGGCAGATCAGGTCCCGCCCCCTGCCAGCTCAGGGCGCTCTCCCATTGGCCGCAGCCATTGCTTGACTGTCGGGCGTGACGACCAATCCAGAAGCGAGCCATCCGATGCACGTCATAAGCGCCGCCCGCCGAAGGGCGGGGTTAGTGCGGCGACGGACGGACGGACGGGGCGGCCAATCGTGAGTGGAAGCGCGGACGGAGGGCGGGAGTAACGTGACGGGCGGGGCTCGGCGACCAATGAGGAGGAGGAGGGGGGGAGGAGACGTCGGGACGGGGGAGCCAACGGGAGCCGAGGGCTGCTTTGACGGACGGGGGCGGCGGCCAATGGGCGTCACCGACGGGACACGTCGAACGGCGGAAAGGTGGGGGCCGAGAGGAGGCGGGGCGAGTCGGCGCCGCCAGCCAATAGGGAGACGCGAATGTTTTGACGGACGGGCGGGGCGGCCAATGGGAGGCGCGGACAGGGCGGGGACGGGGCGAGAGGACGCCACGTAAACAGCGAGCGAGCGTTTTAACCCGTTAAAACATGGCGATAGCGAGAGAGACACACACACAGAGAGAGAGAGACTCACGGTGCTGCGCGCCACGTTGCCCCGCTGAGTGATGTTCTTGCTGTGCTTCTCGTTGGCCATCCGGATCCTCTGCTTGGCCACCATGGCTGCTCCTTTCGCCCCCCCCCTCCCACGCCGCCCCGCTCAGGTACCAACTGTCAGCCGCCGCGCCGCCGCCGCCGCGCGGGGAGAAGCTTCCAGACACAGACAGAGAGAGAGAGTGAGAGAGAGAGAGGGGACGTGAGAGAAGGGGGGGGAGGGGCAAAAAAAACGGAACCGGAACTCGCGCCGCCACGACGAGCCGCGGGGCGGGGCTGGAGGCGGCCAGGCGAGCGACGCCATTGGCTCCCGACGCCACCGCGCCCCCCTCGATCTCTGTCAATCAGCGCCTCCCGCGCTGCCATTGGTCGCCCGCGCTGTCAATCAACGCCTCCCGAGCCGGCATTGGTCGCCTTTCTCTCGCTGGCCGTCGACGCCCCTCGGTCTCCCATTGGCCGCGCTCGCTGTCAATCAGCGCCTCCTGCGCCACCATTGGCCGATATTCTCTCGCTGGCCGTCGACGCCCCCCGCGCTCCCATTGGCCGCGCTCTCGATTATGGGTCGACGCCCCTCGGTCTCCCATTGGCCGCCCTCGCTGTCAGTCGGCGCACCACGTGCTCCTACCGGTCCCCTGTGTTTTTATTGGTGGACGTCGCTGTCAGTCAACGCCCTCTCGGGCTGCCATTGGTCGCCCTCGCTACAGCTGATATCGACCGACCCCTCCCCCCCCCTCCTTACAGGTGTAGTGACTGTGTACCGCTCACAAAAGACACACGGTCACTACAGTTGACAGTGTAACCCGTGAAGCGTTTTGAGACGCGGCGTCGGCCTGATCAGCCTCAGGGTCAAACACGAGCTGTTCGCGTTCCAGCTTCGCTCCCAACCGAAGAGTCCAACGTGGAACCCCCCCCCACCACCACCACCACCACCCCCCCACACACAAACCATCCAACCCTGCATCTGCACCCTCAGCAAAACACGCGCGATGAGCTTATTCAGGTCGTAGCTCGTCAACGATAGGGGATTACAACCCCCCCTCCCAAAAAAAATATGCCCATGGCACTCCCCCATGAAAGACCTTTCCGATGAGGTATAAATCGTGTCTCCACGTCAATCAGTTGTTGAGTTATTGGCGGACAGACAGACACACACAGACGGACGTTTTGTCTTTATCACTATAAAGATAGATTATTGTGTAAGATTATATGCGTAAGGGGAAGGGAAGGGGCTAAACCCCAGCCCCGGGTGAGGCCTCCCCCCACCCTCCACAACTCGAGCGCCCCCCAGGCTTCACCCTCCCCTGCCCGTCGCTATCAGGAACTCCGGGGTCTTCCAGAGCCAACCATGTCACCCGACTCCGACATGGCACCACCCAGCCTGGGCCTGCCCAGGAGGAGCAGCAGGAACATCAGCCAAACGGCTGCCGTCAGCACCGACATCTTGTTCCCGCCGCTTGGCTTCATCTGTGTGCCACAGGGGGCCCCCGGGAGCCGTCGCGGCCACCAGGTGTAACTGCAGCGTTACATGTAACTGCCATACGTGTGTGAGGGCGTAGCTCATCAACGATAGGAGATGCCGCCACCAAAAAATGTGCCCACGACACTCCCCCCAAGCAAGACCGTTCCGATCAGGTATAAATCGTGTCCCTATGTCACTTGGTTATTGAGTTCTTGGCCGACACACAGACACACACACACAGAGACACATAACACACACACACAGAGACACATACACACATACACACATACAGACACACACACACACACAGACAGACATACACACACACACACAGACAGACATACACACACACACACAGACAGACATACACAGGCACACATAGGTACACACACACAGACACACACACACACACAGACAGACGCAACGTATTTATTCGGGGCGCGGCGGCCGCCTACGCTTCACAGTGAAACCCCCGCGGAGCGCTTTGAGACGCCCCCGCCCCCCCCCCCCCGGGGGAAACAATCCCCGGGAAAATAATAATCTGCTCACTCAACCCCCGGCTGTTTGTGGGGACGTCGCCGGGCGCAACTGGCTGCCGCGTTTCGCCCCCCACAAAGCACACAGTCGCGACACTTCACAGTGCATCCCGTGAAGCGCTGTGAGACGTCTCGATGACGTGATGAGGCGCCGGGTCAAAGGCCAGGATTATTATTATTATTTTTATTATTAATTATAATACTAATGTTCTCTCTCCTTCCTCCCCCTCCCCCCCCCACCTCTCCACACAGCAATCTTCCAGATTATCCAGAGTATACGAATGGGAGCTTGAAGGACAGAGGAAAGTGGAAATGCCTATATATATATATATATATAATATACTTTCTTCCCGGACTCTTGATCGATTCTCTTCCTCCGAGCGGTGTGCGCCTGTGCCACACAGACCATTTAGCAGCGTCCAACGCACACCTGAGATATATGTATATCTTATCTATTATATAGAGAGAGTTAATTGCCGCGGTTTTCCCCTTAAAGTTCCACGACATTCCAGCCTTGCGATGAGCGAGCGAGTGAGAGGGGGAGCGAGAGCCTTGTGTGCGTTGGTTACTTCACCCCCACCCTCTCCCCCGCGCCCTCCCACCCCCCCGCCATATGAGACCCCGAGCAGAGAAAAAAGAACGGTTTGATTTGTCAGCGAGTTAATGAAGTGACAGTTCCCCCCCCCCCACACACCCCCACCCCTCCCAATCTCCCTCCCTCAGTTTAATTCTCCCCCCCCCCCACACACACACACACACACACACTCTGTGAGTGTCTTCATGAGGGACCCCCTCACTCCTGACGTGATCTGCTGACCAGTCTCTAGCTCAGGGGGTTAGACCCCCCCCCCCACCTCCCCTCCCCTCGCGAGCGAGAGGACCCGGGTTCGATTCCCGGGCGGGTAAGGTCAGGGCGAAACCTCAGGCAAGTTTCCTTACTCCCCACCCACACACACACACACAGACACACAGATACAACACAGACACACACACACAGGTACAACACAGACAGACAGACACAGACGAACACAGACACACAGTCAGTCACACAGACGCACACACACAGACGCACACGCAGACTCGCCTCTGTTTACCAGCGTTAAGTGGTGGGGGTTAACAATTGGAGATTAAAAAACACAGGGCCTGATAGCATTGGCAGGATCACCGGGTGGCGGGAATTGGGGGGTAAATCCAGCTCTTACCCCCTTCTCCCCCACCCCCACCTTCACCCCGTCCACCACTGGATGTTTCTTCACATTCCACCCCGTTCCCGCTGTCTCTCGTCCCGTCAAGGATTCCCCGATCTCTCTCTCTCACTCTCTCTCACTCTCTCTCTCTCTCTCTCTCTGTGAGACCAACACTTTGAAAGAAATTGTATTTGGAATTACGTCAAGTCACCCTGACCTGATCCTGTATTTTATTTTAGCAGCAATAAAAACAAACCCGACACACCCGGGTTATTGTCTTGTGTGTGCGCACGCGTGTGTGTGCTTTGTGTGTATGCATGTTGTGTGTGTGTGTGTTTTGTGTGTTGTGTTGTGTTGTGCGCGTGTGTTTTATGTGTTTTTTGTGTATTTGTTGTGTGTATGTGTTTTGTGTATGTGTTGTGCGCATTGTGTGTTTGCGTTCATGCGTGCATATGTTTTACGTGTTTGTACGTCTTTTGTATGTTGTGCGTGTGTGGTGTATCTTGTGTGCATGTGCGTTGTGTTTTTGTTCTGTGTACGTGTTGCGTTTTGTGTGTGCGCGTGTTTGTGCGCGTGTTGTGCGTATGTGCGTTGCGTGTGAGGAGGGTCCCAACACTGCGCTCGCTTGGGTAAGAAAGAGGGCTTGATCCCCCACCGTTGTCCTCACCTCGCAAGAGAGAGGACCTGGGTTCGATACCCGGGCGGGTCAGGGTGAAAGCTTAGGCGAGTTTCCTTACCCAACACACACACACGCGACTCTTTCCGAGCAGTCAGTAGGAACCCGCTTGTTAGTCGATTGGGGATCACTTTCCGGGGGTAATAATCCCCTCAAATGAATAATAATTTGTTCACGACTTTGTGGGACACTCCAGTGCGCAATTAGCTGCCGCGTTTCACCTGGAAGACAACAACATTACATGTGTAAAGAGCCTTTCGCGTGAGCGGGGACGTCCCAAGGCGTTGGACGGTCAGTGTTTCGGACCCGAGATGGGGGGGGGGGGGGGGGGTGGGGAGAGGGGTGCGGCAGGGAGATCGAAAGCACGGTCGAAGCGGAGGGTCTTGAGATGGGGTTGAGGCAAAGGGGTTGAGGGAGGGAGTTCCATGGCTTCGGGGTGTAATGGCTGAAGGCACGGCCATCGATGGTGGAGCGGAGGATTCGGGGGACGATAGAGCGGAGGCAGTTGGTACTGCTGTGGGGTTGAGGGGAGGTGAGAGAGATGGGGGCAAGGAATGGAGGGAGTTAAACACGAGGGCGAGGATCTGAGTGGATCCGCCCTGTGACGGAGCCAGAGGGGTTACTGGGGTAATCGGGGAGTGGGGTTTTGGTGCGGGTGAGAATGAGGGTGGCAGAGTTTTCAATGAGCTGGATTTTGGGGACGGCGGAGTGGGGGGGGGAAGGATAACTGGGGATCGAACCCTGACCCCCCCAAGTTGCGCAGGGTTTTCGGAGAGCTTTAAGGACAGGTTGGGTTGAGGCGGTTGGAACCGTGGGACGGAAGACGTCGGCGGAGACCGGCCATGTGGCGGAGGCAGTGCTGCCCTGGGACTGGCTGTGGGGGAGGGAGGACAGTCACTACGCTTTACAGTATAATTCCCCGAAGCGCTTTGAGACGTGATAAGGCGCTGTATCAAACGCAGAGATGGATTATTATTATTAAGAACCCTCGCGTTTGACCCTTCGCCTCATCACGTCTTCGCGACGCCTCAAAGCGCTTCACAGGATACGCTATGAAGTGTAGTGACTGTGCGTTTGGTGTGTGAAACGGGGCAGCCAATCGCGCCCAGCGACGTCCTTCCCCCACACGAACAGTCGTGGGTTGGTTGAAGTCACCACATTATTATTGTTATCATTATTATTATTATTATAATAACAATATGCCGGGGAAGTGTAGTGACTGTGTGGTGTGGTCAATGGGTGGGTTGGTGGTGGCCGCGAGGCGGTCCTCCGACCGAGGGAGGGCGAGCGGTCCTCCCGGCAGCGGCGAGCGCGAAAGAACAAGCACGAGGCGTCGGCAGCGAGGTGGCCTCTTGCCTGCCGCGCGCCGCTCCTTGTCAGGGCGGGAGGCCTAGGCCACATCCGGGGAGCCTGAGCCTGGCGCTGTGGTGGAGGAGCGGCGGGAGGAGGTTTGTGCTGCTGTCCCCCCCACTCCCCCTGTAACCCCCTCCCCCCGCGACCCCCTCCCCCTGTACCCCCCGCGACCCCCTCCCCCTGTACCCTCTCCGCGACCCTTCCCCTGAACCCCCCCCACGACCCCCTCCCCCGCCCCCCTTCCCCTATAGCCCCTCCCCCCGCGACCCCCTCCCCCTGTACCCCCCGCGACCCCCTCCCCCGCCCCCTTCCCCTATAGCCCCTCCCCCCGCGACCCCCTCCCCCTGTACCCCCGCGACCCCCTCTCCCTGTACCCTTCCCCTGAACCCCCTCCACGACCCCCTCCCCCCCGCGACCCCCTCCCCCTGTACCCCGCGACCCCCTCCCCCTGTACCCCCCCTCCCCACTCCCCGAGAGAGAAAATTCACCTTAAAATAATCTTTTTTTTAAAAAAAAGGGCCAAGAAAAACCCGATTTTTATTTAAAATGTTTTTTTTTGTGGTTTCTGACCCAATGTTTTATACTTTGTAGATATTCTGTACACCCCCCCGCGCCCCCCCCCAATATACACCCCACACACACCCCCAATACACCCCTCACCCCCACCCACACACCCAATATACACCCCCCGCGCCCCCCCCCCAATATACACCCCCACACACACACACCCCCACCCACACACCCAATATACACCCCCCGCGCCCCCCCAATATACACCCCCCCCGCGCCCCCAATATACACCCCCACACACACACACAAACCCCCAATACACCCTCCCCCCCACCCACCCAATATACACCCCCCGCGCCCCCCCAATATACACCCCCTCACACACACACACCCCCAATACATCCCTCCCCCCACTCCACCCCAATACACCCCCTCCACACACACAATATACACCCCCCCACGCCCCCCCATATATACCACCCGCACCCCGCCCCCCCCCAACATATAGACCCCCCACACACACACACAGACCCATACACACAGACCCACACACAGACACACATCACCCGCACACACCCCCACACACACACCCATCCACACACTGACACACACCCATCCAATACACCCCCCGCCATATACACACACTGACTCACATGCACCCAATACACCCCCCACACGCCGATACCCCCCCCCAACACACACAGTGTGTAACAGTTAATCATTAATATAATATATAATGTGTGTAATATATAGTTAGTGATCAGTAATATAGTTTATAATGTGTTAGTTATATAGATATTAATCGATAATATAATGTGTAATAATCTAAATACCAAACAAAAATATCATTTATTTAAGACTTATTAGGTATAGTACTGTAATATTCTATATATTATATTATTTTGGTCAGTCTGTATATAGATTATGGATCACCGCAGACACTATATATAAGGTTTAGATTATATAAAAATATAATGCATTGAATATAAAGTAACCAATAATATATAATCAATAATATATAGATTATAACCACCAAACGCCATATATAATGTGTGTGCAATATATAACTAATATCAGCAATATAATGTCTTCATTATAATTAATAATCTGATTCAAATTGTTAATATATGACGGTGTTATGTACCGTCTCAGGCACCGTATAATGTGTGTAATATATAATTAATTTCAACAATACAATGTATTCATTATAATTAATAATCAAATTCAAATTGTTGATATATAGATTATAACTTCCCAACACCATATATAATGTGTATAATATATAATGAATGTTATCTCACGCTGCACTGTAACTGTTATAATGTGATGCCCGACAATTTTATACATTAATTGTACATTCAACCCAAACGACAGAGTAATGTGTGTAATGTATAATTAATAATCTATTATATGGTTAACAGTATAATTCTACACCTTATATATGGCATTCGGGATTATGCACAACCTGTACACGATTGATTGTGGAGTCCTGTATCTTAGTGGTCAGAGCGCTCCCCTCGCAAGCGAGAGGACCCGGGTTCGATTCCCAGCAGGTCGGAAGCTTGGGCAAGTTTCCTTACTACTCACACACACACACACACACACACACACACACGTGTGATAATAATCCCTCAAGAAAATAAAACAGTAATAATAATGGCTTCAATCCACGGCTGTTTGTGGGGACGTCGCCGGTCGCAATCGGCTGCCGCGTTTCGCCCACAAATACACAGTCACTCCACTTCACGGTGTATTCCGTGAAGCGCTTTGAGACGTCTCGAGGACGTGACGAGGCGCCGGGTCAGCCGCCAGGATTGTTAGAATTTATTCGGGCGCATTCCGGACGTTGTGTCATTCGTTATCTATTCTACACACACACACACACAGAGTTTTCAGGTGACATGTAATCTCTACAATTACTAATCACAGTCAATTCACTTTACAGTGTGTTCTGTGAAGCGCTTTGGGACGTTCTCCCGACGTGAAAAGCGCTATATCAAATGCAAGGATTATTATTATTATTATTATATGCGCTGTGCTATTAATTAGATATTCTACACATTATACTCAATGTTTGGGGTGATGTACGATCTGGACGTTAAGTGTTTTTGTATACATATATATATATAACGTGTGATAACAAAAGTGTGTAGAATATACAATGGCAGACACTGTACGATATAGGACGTACAGTGGGTGTAGCCTCCAACACACCGTATATCGTAATGGAATAATATCTTATATAATAATATATAATGTGCGCAAACCCCACAGAGCGAAGCTGCAGACCCCTCCCTTTGACAGAGAGCGCCCGCCCACACCAGCCCCGAGCCAGCCATGGGCGACAGCGATGATGAGTATGACCGGCGCCGGAGAGACAAATTCCGTCGGGAAAGGAGCGACTACGACCGATCCAGAGAGCGGGACGACAGGCGGAGAGACGACTGGAACGACAGGTCTGTCAGGGTCGGAGCCCCGTGGGCAGAGAGCGTAAACAGTAGCAACGCCGCCGCCGACAATAATAATAATAATGAAAATAATCACGATAGCGCCTCGTGAGGGGATTATTCTTACCGTCTTCGAGACGGCGCAAAGCCTCATGAGAGGCGCTATATCAAATGAGAGGGTTATTGTTGTTGTTATTACTATTGTTATTACTGTTATATCCCATGAGATATAATAGTAATAACGTAAGCCTGGACTCCGAGCTTGAGTCGTTGACCCGGGGCTTGAACCCACGACGTCCCAGCTGGGAGGGGGGGAGGGAGGAGGCAGCTGGAGGCCATTCGACCCGGCCAGTTATCTGAGGGCCTGTGTTTCTCTCTCTCTCTCTCTCTCCTCACCAGGGAGTGGGACAGGGGGCGAGAGAGAAGGAGCCGCGGGGAGTACAGAGATTACGATCGGGGAAGGAGGGAACGATTTTCCCCACCGCGGCACGACCTGAGCCCGCCTCAGAAACGCGTGCGGCGAGGAGAATGGTGAGTAGCACGCACACACTACACACACACACACTATATACACTACACACACACACACACACTACACGACAACAACAACAACAAGATTCCATTTATAAAGCGCCTTTCACGTCAGGAGGACGTCCCAAACACACACATACACACACATGCTACCCACATATACTACACACATGCACTACACACACACAACACACACACACCCTACACACACATAAACACACACACTACACACACACACACTACATACACACTACACACATACACTACATACACACACACACTATACACACACACTGCACACACACACTACCAACATACACTACGCACACATACATATATACATACACATACACACACACACGCTACACATAAACACACTAATGCACTCACACACATACACATAGACAGGCACACACAGACTACACACACAACACATACACACACACGCGTGCGCGCCACACAAACATAAACACAAGCCCGGCTCCACTGGCTCCCCATTCCCCAGAGGACAGAGTTCAAAATCCTGGTCCTTGCCTTCAAAGCCCCCCAAAGCCTCGCTCCTTCTACCTCTGTGACCTGCTAACTCGGACCTTCAGCCTCTCTGTCCCCATCCTCAGGAACTCCTTCCCCCAGTCCCTCCCCTCGCTCGCCCCCTCCCTCGCCTCCTTCAAGGCTCATCTCAAGACCCTCCTCTGGTCAACTGTGCCTTCGGTCACCCTCCACCCCCTCCTGATCCCAACCCCCAAATCCCCGGCTGTCCGGCGCTTTGTGACGTCCTCCCGACGTAAATGCCGCGATGTGTTGTTGCTGCCCCCGTTGTTGTTGTTGTTGTTGTTGTGACCGAAATGTTGTTGTTTCTAGGGACGACCACGGAGGGGATCCCTACCACACGGGCTATGACATGCCGTACGGAGGAGGTGGGGGTCCCAGCTACGGCCCCCCTCAGCCCTGGGGACACCCTGACATGCACATGATGCAGCAGCACCATGGCATCCCCATCCAGGCCAGGTGAGAGCATCAAACCCCCCCCACCACCCTCCTGTCTGAACATCTCCCATCACTAGTCTCCCAGTAGCCCCGATAGCCAAGGTCCCAATCATATACTCTGAACAATCTGGGGGATTGCTGTGTGGAGAGAAAGAGAAAGAGAGAGAGAGAGAGAGAAAGAGGGAGAGGGTGGTGGGGTGTGGGGAGGGGTGGGGGGGGAATAAAGGAAAGAGAGAGAACACTAGTCTCAAAATAATAATCTTTACGTGTGACCCGGCGCCTCGTCACGTCATCGAGACGCCTCAAAGTGCTTCACGGGATACCCCGTAAAGTGAATTGACTGTAACGTACAGTCACTACACTTTAAAAGCGAGCCCCGTAACACACTTTGAGACGACCTCCCGTAAGGATTATTATTATTATTATTATTACTCCGGTTTGTGGGCGAAACGCGGCAGCCAATTGCGCACGGCAGCGTCCCCCAACGTCCTGGGGCGGTGTGGGGGGGGGGGGGGGGTTATTAAGATGATGATGGTGATATAACACGGTGTGTGTGTGTGTGGGGGCCAGGCTGGGGAATCTCCACGAGCTGGAGGTGGGACCTCCGCCTGCCGTGATGAAGACCTTCAAGGAGTTCCTGCTGTCCCTGGACGACTCGGTGGATGAGACGGAGTCGGTGAAACGCTACAACGAGTACAAGATCGAGTTCAGGCGGCAGCAAATGCAGGACTTTTTCCTGGCCCATAAGGACGAAGAATGGTGAGACAACAATCCGAAGCCCTCGCTAACCCGACTGCCATCAATTACTGTATTCACCGCTCTCTTTCTCTCGCTCTCTCTCTCAATCTCTCTCTCTCTCTCTCTCCCCCCCTCTCCCGTCTCTCTCCCCTGACCCCCACTGCTACTGTGCTCCAGCTTAACTTCAAATGATAACGCTTTACTCTCTCTCTTCCCGCCAACTTCCCTCCAAATTTCCTGAGTTGTAAATGTCTCTTTCGTTGGCTCTGTGTTCTCCTGACTGAGGGGGTGGGAGGGGGAAGGAGAGATTCAAGTGACTTGTTCTGTGGTGTGTGTGTGTGTGCCTGTGTGTGAGAGTGCATGCGTGCCTGTGTGAGTGCGTGGGTGCCTGTGTGTGTGTGTGTGAGTGCGTGGGTGCCTGTGTGTATGTGTGTGAGTGCGTGGGTGCCTGTGTGTGTGTGTGTGTGAGTGCGTGGGTGCCTGTGTGTGTGTGTGTGTGCGAGTGAAACTCTTGCCTTGCTTCATATTCTCTCCCGATCTGAGCAGGAATGGTCGGACGTTTCTCAGTCCCCATCGTGAGGGGGTGGGGTGTGTTCCTCTTCCTCCGCTCCCTGCCCTCCTGATATGAAAGGTGCCGTGCCTACGGTTTCCCACCACTACCCCTCCCCCAGGCTCAGTGGTGTGCTCCGTCACTGTCAGGCGCTCTGGGACGTGAGGGGCGCTGTGTAAATAAGTGCAAGTTATTGTGTTTGACCCCGTGCTTGACGCTCTACATTATACTGCAATGTGTATATACAGTAAAACTCTCATAAGTCCGATCTGTATCAATGGGGTAATCGCCAAAGTTGTACATCAGCCTAAGTCCTGGTTAAGAGATTACTTTTCTTGTTTTGCCCAGCCGGGTGTCTGACACGCATGGAAACCCGTCACCGTGACCGGCCGGGTGTCTGACACGCATGGAAACCCGTCACCGTGACCGGCCGGGTGTCTGACACGCATGGAAACCCGTCACCGTGACCGGCCGGGTGTCTGACACACATGGAATCCCGTCACCGTGACCGGTCGGGTGTCTGACACGCATGGAAACCCGTCACCGTGACCGGCCGGGTGTCTGACACGCATGGAAACCCGTCACCGTGACCGGCCGGGTATCTGACACGCATGGAAACCCGTCACCGTGACCGGCCGAGTGTCTGACACGCATAGAAACCCGTCACCGTGACCGGCCGAGTGTCTGACACGCACGGAAACCCGTCACCGTGACCGGTCGGGTGTCTGACACACACGGAAACCCGTCACCGTGACCGGTCGGGTGTCTGACACACACGGAAACCCGTCACCTTTGCTTAAGAGTCTCCAAACCCGACTGAGAATTCCCCACATCGCCCCCACACCCGGAAACCCCAGAGAGGCTGAAAGCCCGGCCACCGGTGGTAGGGCGGGTCGGGCAGGAGACATGGAGCAGCCGGAGCCCGCTGAACGGAGGGAGCGGGCGGGTTAGTAGGGAAACAGCAGGTCAGAGAGGTAGGAGGGCGCAAGGCCATGGATGGCCTTGAAAGTGAGGACAAGGATCTTGAATTCGAGCTAAACCGGTTTGGCCATTGAGAGCGCTGCCTCAGCTTTCCTGCTGCTTGTCCAGCGAGGACCACCCTCCCCATTAGTTAGTTAGTCAGTCAGTTAGTTAGTTAGGGCTTTGGCTTTGGAACTGTTACCCTTTTGTTCATAAACCAGCAAAGTGTTTTATTTTTGAGGGTAACTCTCAGCCCCGAGGGATGTGGGATGTTCTTCCAACACGAAAAGCACTGCGTAAATGTCATTTGTTGCTGCTGTTGAGCAACTGGGCTCCTCTGCTACACGACCGCAGAGTCTCACACAGTCGAGGCTTTTTGGGGGGGGTGAGTGGGGAGGAGAGATGACCTGAATACACGCTTGAAAGGATGAGTCTTAGGCAGGGAGGGAGGGGAGAAGGTGGTGGGACTCCAAGGATGAAGTGTGTGTCAAAGGGCTTGCATTTCAGCGCACGCTTTCTTAGATTTGTGGATTCCCTGTAGCTCAGGGGTTAGACCCCTCCCCACGCAAGTCACAGTCCCTGAAGCTCAGGGGTTAGACCCCTCCCACGCAAGTCACAGTCCCTGTAGCTCAGGGGTTAGACCCCTCGCCTCGCAAGTCACAGCCCCTGTAGCTCAGGGGTTAGACCCCTCCCCACGCAAGTCACAGTACCTGTAGCTCGGGTTAGACCCTTCGCTTCGCAAGTCACAGTCCCTGTAGCTCAGGGGTTAGACCCCTCGCCTCGCAAGTCACAGTCCCAGTAGCTCAGGGGTTAGACCCGTCGCCTCACAAGCCAGAGGACCCGGGTTCGATTCCCGGGCGGGTCAGGTCAGGGCGAAACCTTAGGCAAGTTTCCTTACTCCCCATACACAGACACAGACACACACAACACAGAGACATACACACGTACGCACACACACACTCGCCTGTTTTCCAGCAGTAAGTAGGCACCCGATAGTTGATCGATTTGCGGATCGCTTTCCGGGGGTAACATCTCCCGACAGTCGGGGCAGGGGTGAAGAGAAGGGAGTTCACCTCTCTCTCTCTCCCCCCACCCCCCCAGTTCCCTGAATCACAAACTCGCTCGCTTCACGACTGTTTATGGGGACGTCGCTGGGTGCAGTTGGCTGCCACGTTTCGGCCACGAAACACACAGTCACTACACTTTACAGCGTGTCCCGTGAAGCGCTTGGAGACGTGATTTTCCAAGTTCGCTGCCGTCTCGTCGGAATTGGGGAGGGGTGGGGGGGGGGGGGTTGTCGGAGGGAGATGCAGAGACGTGGTGGACTTAAAGAGTGAGTAAAAGGATGTTGCGGCGATCAGGAGGATACAGAGGAGGGTAACCAGAATGATTGAGGGGGGTGGAGGGACTGGATTTTGAGGAGCGATTGGATAAACTGGGCAAGTTCACACTGGAGACGAGGAGGTTGAGGGTCGACATGATTACGGTCTTCAAGGGTCTGGATCTGGTTGACCAGGAGAAGCTGTTTTATCTTGTACTGAACGGCAGAACCAGAGGCCACACGTCCTGGGATTGAAGGGGGTGAATTCGCACCAAATCTACGGGGGACACAACCTCAGCGAGCAAGTAGTAAACGTGCGGAACAGGTTCCCTAGGAAGACAGACAGACAGACGGTGGACGCAGAATTTGTTTCAGGAAGAAACGAGAGAGATTTCTGTTAGAAAATAATATCTCGTGGGGGGTGGGGGGGAGAGAGAGACAGTAGCTCGGGACACCACCCGTCTAGCGACTGCCAGGACGGTGGACAGGCCAACTTAGCTGGACCTCTGTCTTCTTTCATCCAAGCGTTTTCTTCCGTTTATAAGGTGGCTTTATTTTCGGAATTAACGCTTTGTGCTGTGTTGCAGTGAAACGTGCAAGGTTGGGGTGGTGGGGGGGGGTGGGGGGGGGGGAGCAATATCCAGCTGTGCTTGTACAGTCCTCTCTTTAATTCATGTGATCTGCTGTTAACCATAATAATAATCATTTTTTTTTTGTTTGTATAATGTTAATTCTGACACCTTTCTCCCCCTCCCACCCTACCCCCACCTCCCTCCCTCCCTCCCTCCCTCACCCTCCGAACACAAGGTACAGGAGATCAAACTCAGAAGCCATTACTGGTCACCCAGCGGTGGAGATGATTAGAGAGAAGTTAGCGACACACTGCGTACAATGCAGTGTCTAGTTAGACAAAAGTCTAGGGCTTAGTTAGTTAGCGAGGCTCAGACAATCAAACAATGAAATGAAACTGTAATGACATGAAGTTCGAGAAAAAAACTCGCACGCACAGTTGAGACCCTTCAGGATGCCTACGAGACCTAAGTATTATTATTTCCTCCGTACGTCAGAGAGAAAAAAAAAAATGAATTAAAAGAAAAAAAAAATGAATGAAAAACGCTGAAAAAAAAAAGACTTTTTTTTTTAAAAAAAAATTGTTTAAGAAATATATTTAAAGAAATCGCTGCAAATTTGTGTTCTCTTTTCGCTAGGATTTTCTTCTCTTTTTGTTCCGTTTTGGTTTTCGACCTGTGTTAAGCTTTGTGTTACGTTTAATTAACTACTGTTTAGTGAGGGAGGGAGGGAGGGAGGGAGGGAGGTTTAATCCCGAGGGTGGGAAATGGGCGAGGCAGAGTTGACAAACAGCAGTGTCTTGTTCGGAGGGGAGGGGGCACGGATTTACGTAACCTTTTTTTTTTTGGCTTGGCGTTTCCAACTGATTTCCTCTCCCCCCCCCCCCCCCTCCCCACCCCCCACCACACACACACACACACACACAGGCACCACCTTCCCAAACACACGGAGCTGGGATATTAGTGGGAAAACGCCCTCATCTCACAGAATCATAAACCGTTAACAGCACGGAAGGAGGCCATTCGGCCCATCGTGCAAGCGCCGGCTCTTTGGAAGAGCCGCCAACTCCCCCACACCCCCCCCCCCCCCTGCTCTTTTCCCGGAGCCCTGCAAATCTCACTTTCCATCAGTACTTTTTCGCCTAAATACGCAGTCACTCCACTTTACAGTGTATCCCGTGAAGCGCTTTGAGACGTCTCTTAAGACACGATGAGGCGCTGTAACAAATGCCAGGATTATTATTATTATTACCCGCCCGTTCCTTCTCTTTAGGCGGAAGTTAAAGAATCGACTTTGAGTGTTTTGTGGGCGAAATGCGGCAGCCAATTGCGCCCAGCGACGTGCCCACAAGCAGTCGCGGTTTAAGCGACCGCATTTATTGTTTCGCGGGTGGGATTATCACCCCCGGAAAGTTACCCGCCATTCGACTAACAAGCGGTTAAACACGGGCGTGCGTGTGGAGTACGGAAACTTGTCTTAAGGTTTCGCCCGGTCCCACCCGGGAATCGAACCCAGGTCCTCTCGCTTGCGAGGCGAGGGGGTCTTCACCCCCTACACTGCAGGACTGGCTTTGTAAAGCCAGACTCCTGCCTCTCCACCCCCTCCGCAAACCTCCCCTCACCCTCCCACCCCCCTCCCATCGCCCGCCAATCACCAGCACCACACCACCACAAAAAAAACATTGCGTTGTATTGTGCGAACGTACACAGAACTGTCCATTGAGACCTGACATTTTGGGGTTTAGCTGCCCTGCCTTGCTTTTTCTCCTCTCCTCCGGGCAATACTCCTAAATTGGTGCATGTGTATGTTTTTAATACATATACCAAGATTTATATATATATATATATTATACATTCATAGATTACTGTTAGCTGTTGTTTAAAACATTATATATAGATATATACTATGTGCCGTTCCGTGACTGACTGTTGTGACCTGCTGCTCACTGGGGTCTTGTCTGCTTACCCCCCCACCGTTCCGTTTGCAAAGGTTTCGATCAAAATATCACCCAGACGAGGTTGGGAAGCGCAAGCAAGAGGCTGACTATGGCATGCGAACCCGACTGAGTGTGTACTGTTACCTGATGGAGCACGGCTGGTTCGATGGCATCTCGCTGGACATCGACAAGTCCAACATCATAATGAAAGCCTTGGACGCAGGTAATCCAAATTCCCGTTCTCCCCCCACCCCATCACCCCAGCCCTCGCCAGGCCCCACTGGCTCCCCAATACCCCCACTAAACCCCGTCCCCCCAACACCCCAGCCCTCGCCAGGCTCCACTGGCTCCCTGTCACACACTAAACCCCGTTCCCCCCATCACCCCCAGCCCTCGCCAGCCTCCACCGACTCCCCATCACCCCCACTAAACCCCGTCCCTCCCATCACCCCAGCCCTTGCCAGGCTCAACTTGCTCCCTATCACCCCCACTAAACCCCGTCCCCCCCATCACCCCAGCCCTCGCCAGGCTCTGCTAGCTCCTGTTTGACTGCTGTTGTTGACCCACCAGCCGTCATCAAGATGGAGGGGGGGACGGAGAATGACGTGAAGATCCTGGACCTGGAGGACGAGGAGGAGAAGGCGGAAAAGTCTGAAGCTGGAAAGAAGGAGGAGGGTCTCCGGGGGGGCTCTGACGCTGACCGGAAGCTGGCTATGGAGAAAGAGAAGGAAGAGAAGAAAGAGGAGAGCGGCAAAAAGGTAGAGAGGAGGGGCTGAAGAAGCTGAATTGATGGGTTAACGGAACATAACATGTAGGAGCAGGAGGAGGCCATTCGGGCCCTTCGAGCCTGCCCCGCCATTCAATCATACCTGATCTTCTAATCTAACTCCAGCTAATAACCTGACGCTGCCTTATCCCCATATCCCTTAATCCCTTTTGCAATAAGAAACCTATCTATCTCAGTCTTGAATATGTTCAAGGACTGAGCGTCAACAGCCCTTTGGGGTAATGAGTTCCATACAATCACTGCCCTTTGAGTGAAGAAGTTCTTCCTCAACTCAGTGTGAAAGGGTTGGCCTCTGATTTTAAGGTTGTGACCCCTGGTTTTAGTTTCTCCAACCGGGGAAACAATCTCCCACTATCTACTCTATCTGCCCTTTGATGATCTTATAGGTTTCTATAAGATCCCCTCTAATTCTTCTATATTCTAGAGAATATAGGCCCAAATAGGTCAACCTATCCTCGTAACTCATCCCCTTCATCACTGGCACTAACCCAGTAAATCTACGCTGTACCCCCTCCAAGGCAAGTACATCCTTCCTTAAATAAGGAGACCAAAACTGCACACAGTATTCCAGGTGTGGTCTCACAGGGCCCTATACAGTTGCAGCGAGACTTCCCTACTCTTATACTCTGATCCTTTCATAATGAATACTAACATAACGTTCACCTTCCTAATCGCTGCTGCACCTGCAGACTAACTTTCTGTGATTGGTGTACAAGGACATCCAAGTCCCTCTGGACACTAACACATTCCAATCTCTCCCCTTCTAAAAAATAACCCGCTCTACTGTTTTTGCTCCCGAGGTGGATGACTTCGCACTTCCCTACATTATACTTCATCTGCCACCTACCTGCCCAATCACCTAACCTATCTATGTCTCGCTGCATTTTTTAATGTCGTCCTCTGTGTTGACACTTCCTCCTAGTTTTGTGTCATCCGCGAATTTAGATATATTAACTTCGATGTCCTCATCTAGATCGTTGATGTAGATGGTAAATAGCTGAGGCCCAAGGACTGATCCTTGTGCACTCCCCTAGTCACATCCCGCGAATCTGAAAAGGACCCGTTTATCCCTACTCTTTGTTTCCTACCCATTAACCATTCCCCAATCCATATTAATATGCTCCTCCCAATTCTATGGGCCCTTATCTTTTGGACTAACCTTTTATGTGGCACCTTATCGAATGCCTTCTGGAAGTCCAAATAGACCACATCCACTGATTCACCCTTATCGAGTTTACTGAAAATATCCTCGAAAAACTCTATGAGATTTGTCAAACATGACTTCCCTTTTGTAAAGCCATGTTGACTTGGCCTAATATATTGTGCCCTAAATGCCGCATTACCACATCCTTAATCAACGATTCTAAATTTTTTCCTATCGCTGATGTGAGACTAACTGCCTATAGTTCCCCATCTTTTCCTTTCCACCTTTTTTAAATAGTGGTGTGACATTTGCGATCTTCCAATCCATGGGGACTGTTCCAGAATCCAAGGAATTTTGGAAGATCAGACACAAGGCCTCCACTATCTCATAAGCTCCTCTTTTAAAACCCTGGGATGCAAGCCATCCGGACCAGGGGATTTGTCACTTTTTAGTGCTAACAGTTTCCCAGCACCAATTCCTTACTAATGAAAATTTCCCTAAGTTGCTCCCTGTCCTTATACCTTTGGTGCATCTCTATTGTTGACAGACTGGTTGTGTCTTCTCGGGTGAAGACAGGTGCAAAGTACCCATTTAGGGACTCTGCCATGTCCTTGTTCCCCCATTACAACTTCTCCCATCTCTGACTGAAGTGGACCTGCATTTATCCTCACCAGCCTATTCCTCTTAATATAATTGTAAAAACTTTTGGGGTAAGAGCGGGGGAGTGGGGCTAGTTGGGGTAAGAGCTTGGGGAGTGTGGGCTGGTTGGGGTAAGAGTGGGGGCCAGTTGGGGTAAGAGCGGGGGAGTGGGGGCCAGTTGGGATAAGAGCGGGGGAGTGGGGACTAGTTGGGATAAGAGCGGGGGAGTGGGGACTAGTTGGGGTAAGAAGTAAGAGCGGGGGAATGGGGACTAGTTGGGGTAAGAGCAGGGGGAGTGGGGGCTAGTTGGCAGCTCTTCCAAAGAGCCGGCACAGGCTCGATGGGCCGAACGACCACCTTCTGGGCTGTAAGGCTGTGTGGTTGTGTGAACGTGAGGGTCTCTGAAGGTGGGCTGTGCTCCCAGGGAGAGAGCGTGTCTGCGGGGGACGAGGAGAAGAAACAGCAGGAGAGAGAGGAGAACAAAGCCAAGCCCCCGGGCGAGGACAAGGGAGAGGAGCGGGACAAGGCCGACAAGTCCACGGTGTCTGAGGAGAACTCCGCAAAGAAGGTATCCCTCGTTCTTTAGTCTTGACCACTTTCTGCTAACCTCTCGGTCTCTCCCCCTCTCTCTCTCTATATCAGTCTCTCTCTCTCTCTCTTTCTCTCTCTTTCATTCATTCATTCATTCTCTCTCTCTCTCTCTCTCTCTCAGTCTCTGCCCCTCTCTCTCTCTCTCTCTCTTTCCCCTACTTGTCCCTCGTGCCTCCGCTCCACCATCGGCAACCATGCTTCCAGCCCCCCACCCCCGCTAACTGGCAAAAGGCTTGTGGAGTCCTGGTTAGACCCCGAGCAAGCCAGAGAACCTGGGTTTGATTCCTGGGCGGATCAGGTCAGGGCGAAATCTTAGATAAGTTTCTGTACCCCCCCACGCACGTGAACACACACACACGCACACACCTCTGTTTGCAGTGAGTAGGAGCCCGGTTGTCAGTGGATTGGGGTGGGGGTCACTTTCCGGGGGTAATAATCCCCTCAAAACTATAATACTAATAACTTGGTCACTTCAACCCCCGGCCGTTTGTGGGGACGTCGCTGGGTGCAATTGGCTGTCGCGTTTCGCCCACAAAACACACAGTCACTCCACTTGACAATGTGTCCCATGAAGCGCTTTGAGACGTCTCAACGATGTGATGAGGCAAATCACATCAGACAAACCCCGGGATTATTATTATTAAACTGGGAAGGTAATCGTTGAGCTCTCGGAGACGCTGTGACCATCCAAGTTGCTGCCGTTGATGGTGGAGTGCCGGCCTTGTGATGGGCGAGCTAACGCACTCTATCTCTCCTCCCCCCTCGCTCGCGCAGGTGGGCAAGAAACGCAAGAGAAAGCGCAGCGGAGACGACAGCTATGACGAGGATGATGGCACCGCTTCCGATTCGGAATCCGAGCCTGAGGCAGCTCCTACCGGCCTGGAGAAGCCACAGGAACCCAATCCAGGTACTGGCCGGGGAACAACAGCAACAGCAACACAACCACATACAGCGCTGGCTCTCTCTCTCTCTCTCGATGGCTGAGCTGTGTGTGGGTTTAGCCGGTTAGACCCCAGCAGTTACCCCCCAACACACACTCTGGGCTCCCCCCAAAGCCTTGGCTCTCGCCAACCTGCGCCTAATACTCTCCGGAATTAGGTAAGCAGAGGGCGTCCCTCCGGGGGGAGAGAGAGAGAGAGAGAGAGAGCACATTCCATCCCAACGATCTCTCTCTGGGGTTTCCAGGTGTGGGGGCGATGTGGGGAATTCTCAGTCGGGTTTGGAGACCCTTAAGCAACGGTGACGGGTTTCCGTGTGTGTCAGACACCCGACCGGTCACGGTGACGGGTTTCCGTGTGTGTGTGTCAGACACCCGGCTGGTCACGGTGACGGGTTTCCGTGTGTCAGACACCCGACCGGTCACGGTGACGGGTTTCCGTGTGTGTCAGACACCCGACCGGTCACGGTGACGGGTTTCCGTGTGTGTCAGACACCCGACCGGTCACGGTGACGGGTTTCCGTGTGGAGGTAGGAGAGTGACCAAAGGCGGCACGGTCTAAGAGGAAAGGAAGGTTCTTGAAACAGGTCTTGAAGGAGGCACGGCGAGGGGGCCAGGCGAAGGGACTGTGGGATGAAGTTCTGGATTTCATTCCCAGCAATATGAAACCTCGGGCAAGTTTCTACATGACTGATAATAATGCCTCAAGAAAAAAAACAATTATAAATTGGTTGTTTCAAAACAGGATTGCTGCCGCGTTTCGCCCACAAAATATACGGCCAATTCACTTTACAGTCTGTTCTGTAAAGCGCTTTGAGATAATAATAATAATAATAATCCTTGCATTTGATATAGCGCTTTTCACGTCGGGAGGACGTCCCAGAGCGCTTCACAGAACACACTGTAAAGTGAATTGACTGTATATTTGTGGGTGAACGCGGCGGCCAATTGCGCACAGCAATGTCCCACAAACAGTCGTGGATTGGAAATGACCAATTTATTATTGTTTTTGGTTTTGGAGGGATTATTATTAGGCTCTGTGTGGAGTAAGGAAACTTGCTCAAGGTTTCGCCCTCTGCCTGGGATTGAACTCAGGTCTCTCACTTGCAAAGCGAGTGCTCTAACCACTGAGCTACAGGACTCCAAAGATGTCTACAGATGTCTAGAAGACGTGAAGGGTTCTGCATCAAATGCAAGGATTATTATTATTATTATTGGTCTGTATTCCCTTGAATTTGGACGGTTGAGGAGTGGAGTCCTGCAGCTCAGGGGTTAGACCCCTCACCTCAAATGCGAGAGAACAGGGGTTTGATTCCCGGGCGGGTCAGGTCAGGGCGAAACCTTCGGAAAGTTTCCTCACTCCCCCCCCCCCCCCCACACACACACACTCCCCCGCTCTTACCCCAACGAGCCCCACTCCCCCGCTCTTACCCAATACCCCTGCAATTTTTTTCCTTTTGAAGTCCCTATCTAATTCCCTTTTGCAAGTTGTTATTGAATCCGTTCCCACCCTCTCAGGCTGTGCGTTCCAGACCGTAACGATTCTCTTGTGTAAAACAGTGTCTCCTCATTCTCCCCTCTGGTTCTTTTGCCAGAGGGAAGATGAGAACCTTGGTCTTTTTTGGTCTAGTGATTCCCATGTGTTAGCCCCAAATCTTTGCCCTGCCCGGGGAATCGAACCCAGTTCCTATTTTGCATCCGGGCCCTTGAATGCCCAGTGCCTTGGGACGTCCTCCTGGTGTGAAAGGCGCTGTACAAGTCTAATTAGTTGTTGTTGTTTTTGTCCCCATCGAGAGTTGTTGTTGTTGTTGGTATAATTTCCTGCTTCTCTTCCTGATTAGGTAAAGCGAGAGAAGGGGAGGAAAAGAACCAGAAAGCAGGTAAGCAATTTCACCCTGACCTGGGGACAGGGAACAGCAGCAAGTTAATGTTACTTCGGGGGGAGTGGGGCTAGTTGGGGTAAGAGTGGGGGAGTGGGGCTAGTTGGGGTAAGATCGGCGGAGTGGGGCTAGTTGGGGTAAGAGTGGGGGAATGGGGCTAGTTGGGGTAAGAGCGGGGGGGACTAGTTGGGGTAAGAGCGGGGGAGTGAGGACTAGTTGGGGGTAAGAGCGGGGGAGTAGGGCTAGTTGGGGTAAGAGCGGGGAGTGGGGCTAGTTGGGGTAAGAGCGGGGGAGTGGGACTAGTTGGGGTAAGAGCGGGGGAGTGAGGACTAGTTGGGGGTAAGAGCGGGGGAGTAGGGCTAGTTGGGGTAAGAACGGGGGAGTGGGGCTAGTTGGGGTAAGAGCGGGGGAGTGGGGCTAGTTGGGGTAAGAGCGGGGAGTGGAACTAGTTGGGGAGAGAGGGGAGTGGGGCTAGTTGGGGTAAGAGGGGGGGGGCTAGTTGGGGTAAGAGCGGGGGGGTGGGGGGGGGGGGGGGGGGACTAGTTGGGGTAAGAGAGGGGGGAGTGGGGCTAGTTGGGGTAAGAGAGAGGGGAGTGGGGCTCGGCACAGGATTTATTTTTCTAACCAGCCGTGTATTTTGTGGGTGGGTGGCTGCGTGTGTGACTGTGTGTGTGACTGTGTGTGTGTGTGTCTTCAAAGCCCTCCTGGGCTTTGCTCCTCCCTACCTTATGGAGTCCTGTAACTCAGTGGTTCGAGCCTTTGCCTCTCAAGTCAGGTCGGGGCGAAGTGTTTGGCAAGTTTCCTTACTCCTCTCCCCCCCCCCCACCCCACACCCCCCACCCACCACACACACACACACACACACACACGCCTGTGTCCCCGGCAGTCGGTAGGAACCCGGTTGTCAGGCGATTGGGGGATCACTTTCCGGGGGTAATAATCCCTTCAAAACAATAATAATTTGGTCACTTCAACCCACGGCTGTTTGTGGGGACGTCGCTGGGCGCAGTTGTCCCCCAAAACACGCAGTCACTACATTTTACTGTGTGTCCTGTGAAGCGCTTTGAGACGTCACGACAACGTGATCAGGCGCCGGGTCAAACGCCAGGATTATTGTTGTTGTTGTTGTTGTTATCATTTTTACCTCTGTGACCTGCTAACGCTGTGTCAACCTGTCCACTCCCTCCACGGGCTCAGCGGGCTCCGGCCTGCTCCATGCCTCCCGCCCTGCCATGCCCGCCCTCACCATGTTACTAAAGCTTCTCTCTCTCTCTCTCTCTCTCCGGCCAAACCGCAGACGAGCCCAAAGCGGAGAGAAAGGAGGAACACAAGGACAAGCCCAAGGAGGAGAAGAAGGAGATGGAGAATGCCCCCAAGCCCCGCCCGCTACACAAGACCTCCTCCCTCTTCATGAGGAGCATCGCCCCCAACATCTCGAAGGCCGAGATCATTGCGGTGAGAGCACGCGGGGACAGGAGGAGGCCATTCAGCCCCTCCAGCCTGTGCCGCCATTCTATCGGATTGTGGCAGATCTGTACCTCAACTCCAATTACCCGCCTCTACCCCATGATGCCCCGACCTGATAAAATGTTTATCGACTCTATAGGGGGAGAGGAAGAGGGAGGGAGGGAGAGGAAGAGGTGGGGGTGAGAGGGGAAGGGAAGGGGAGAGAGGGGAGAGGGAGAGAGAAATGGCTGATCTGTACCTCAATTCCAATTACCCGCCCTTGCCCCATATCCTTCTTCTTCCTGTTCAACCCCGTTTTGTGAGAATAATTCTTGCGTCCCGTAGTGTAGTGTAGGGGTTAGACCCCTCGCCTCGCAAACCAGAGGACCCGGGTTCGATTCCTGGGCGGGTCAGGTCAGGGCGAAACCTTAGGCAAGTTTCCTTCCCCCCCCCCCCACCACACACACACACACACACACACACACAATCCTCTGTTTCCCAGCAGGAACCGCTTGTTAGTCGATTGGGGGATCACTTTCCAGGGGGTAATAACCCCTTCAATAACTCAGCCCACGGATGTTTGTGGGGCTGCCGCTTTTCGCCCCACAAAATATACAGTCACTACACTTTACAGTGTATCCTGTGAAGCACTGCGGGACGTCTCAACGATGTGATGAGGCGCCGGGTCCAAACGCCAGGATTATTATTATTATTATTTGTGCTGTGTTGTACCTAAAGCTTGTGTTTCTGTCTCTCGCCAGCTGTGTAAGAGGTTCCCTGGCTTCATGAGAGTGGCTCTGTCCGACCCTCAGCCTGAACGCAGGTAAGCCACGGCGTGAGCAGAGCTTCACCTGGTAGCTGGACTGGCTGGGTGGCTGGCTGGGTGGGTGGGGGGGGCGGGTACATGGACATTTAGGGGGTGAGGGTGGACAGTTGACATAGGAACAGAAGGAGGCCTTTCTGCACCTCATGGCTCAATCTGTACCTCCACTCCAGTTGACAGGGGGTGCGTCGGGGAGTTTGGACTGTTGACATAGGAACAGGAGAAGGCCATTCAGCCCCTCGAGTCTGTTCCACCATTCGTAGAATCATAGAGTTATGCAGCCTAGAAGGAGGCCATTCGGCCCATCGTGTCTGTGCGGGTCTTTGAAAAGAGCTTTCAAATCAACCCCACTCCCCCGCTCTCTCTCTCCCCCCATAGCCCTGATTCTTATCGAATCAGTTCACCCGCCCTCCCACCAGTGGGAATAGTTTCTCCTTGTTCACCGTATCGAATGCCCTCATCACTTTGAACATTTCTATCAACTCTCCCTTCAGTTTTCTCTGCTCCAAGGAAAAGAATCCAAACATCTTTAGCTTCTCGTGATGACCGCAGTCCCACATTCCTGGTAGCATAAGAAATCTTTGACGAAAAAGAAAACAATCTAATCTGTGTTGGAAAGAACGTGCTTCAACCTATTCCACGGGTTAACTATTCGCTCACTGAAATAGTGCTTGCGTAGACTTGTTCTGAATTTAACCCCCCCGTCCCCCCCGTCCCGTCCCGTCAATCGCAGGCCGTGAGTCCTCTGGTTCTACTGTTCTGGACAAGTTGAAACAGCCCGTCATTTTAGCCCCTCGAGTCTGTTCCGCCATTCTGTTAGATCACGGCTGATCTGTAGCCTCAACCCCCGCCAATTGACCCCAATTGGGGGGCAGTGGGCAGTGGGGGGGGAGACCTGGTGGGATTTCTCCTGTGGGGTTGAGGTTGCTAGTAGCTACGCCTCGCGTAGCATCCAGTGCAGTGACTGACTCACTAACTGTGGGGTGGGGAGTGTGTGTGTGTGTGTGTGTGTCCTCGCCCCTGCCTACACTCCAACCCGCTCCCCCCCAACCCCTCCCCCCACCCAACTCCGCCACCGCTGCCTCCACTCGGCCGGCTCTGGCCTCCAGGTTGTCCCTCCGCTCCACCATCGGTGGCCGTGCCTTCAGCCGCTGCGCCCCAAAACTCTTATCACTCTCCCCCTCAATTCCTGCGCCTCAACCCCTCCATCCCTCCCTACCCCCCTCAAGCGCTCTGGGACGCTACCCCACGTGAAGGGGGCTGTGTAAATGCTGCTGCTGCTGTTGTTGTGGGACAGGGAGAGGGAGACCACGTTGGGATTATGACCAGTTTCTCCTGTTAGATTTTTCCGCAGAGCCTGGGTGACCTTCGATCGAAGTGTGAACATCAAAGAGATCTGCTGGAACCTCCAGAACATCCGAGTGAGTGACAGAACCGTAGGGTCTTACAGCGCAGAAGGAGGCCATTCGGCCCATCGTGCCTGTGCTGGCTCTTTGGAAGAGCTGCCAACTAGCCCCCACTCCCTCCCCCTGCTCTTACCCCAACAAGCCCCACTCCCTCCCTTGCTCTTATCCCAACTAGCCCCCACTCCCTCTCTCCGCTCTTACCCCAACGAGCCCCACTGCCTCCCCCGCTCTTACCCCAACTAGCTCCGCTCCCTCCCCCGTTCTTACCCCAACTAGTCCCACTCCCCACAATGTGTGTGCATCAGACTGGCTCAGTGGTGTCGCGCTCTCCCTCCTCTGAGTCAGAAGGTTGTGGGTTTAAGCCCCGTCAGGACTTGGAATAATACAGTTGTTGCAAGGGCTGTTTTTATCACACCTCCCTCTCTCTCTCTCCCCCTCTCCCCCTCTCCCCCCCCCCCCCCCCCGCCCACACACAGTTACGTGAGTGTGAGCTGAGCCCTGTGGTGAATCGGGATCTGGCGAGGCGGGTGAGGAGCATTAACGGCCTGACACAGCACAAACAGATCGTGCGAAACGACATCAAACTAGCGGCCAAACTCATCCACTCCCTGGACGACCGGTCCCAGCTCTGGTCCTCCGAGTCCCTCAACGAGGACGGGAGGGTTGAGGTACGTGGGCTGTTTTTACCTTGTGGCCAGAACAGTAGAACCAGAGGCCACGGCCTGCGATCGAAAGGGTGGGTGGGGGTTAAATTCGTAACAAACCTGCTGAAACATTACTGCAGTGAGCGAGCAGTTAACATGGGAAACAGCACAGGCTTCGCAGGGAGACAGACAGACACAGGGAGAGAGACAGACAGACACAGGGAAACAGGGAGTCCTGTAGCTCAGTGGTTAGAGCACTCGCTTTGCAAGTGAGAGACCTGAGTTCAATTCCAGGCAGAGGGCCAAACCTCGGGCAAGTTTCCTTACTCCACACAGAGCCTAATAATAATCCCTCCAAAACCAAACAATAATAAATTGGTCATTTTCAATCCCCGACTGTTTGTGGGACATTGCTGTGCGCAATTGGCTGCCGCGTTCGCCCACAAACATACAGTCGATTCACTTTACGGTGTGTTCTGTGAAGCGCTTTGGGACGTCCTCCCGACGTGAAAAGACAAGCGCTATATCAAATGCGAGGATTATTATTATTAAACAGACAGACAGACACAGGGAGACAGTCGGTGTTTCAAGAACAAATGAGATCGATTTCTGTTGAAATGATATCTGAGGATACAGTATCTACAGACAGACAGACAGACAGACACACAGACAGAGACACAGACACAGACACAGATACTCTGACCATGCTAAACTGGAACGGTCCTTGGTTTTTCGTCAGCAAATTCTTATGCTGTTAATCAGTCAGACAAACGCCTGGCCCTGCTCCGCTCATCACCCTTGCCTTAGAAGGACGTGACCTCAGCAACATCTACAGCAAATTATATCATCGTTGTTACACTATTACTCAGCCTCTCCCTCCTCCGAGTCGGAGGACCCGGTTTCAACTCCCAGGCAGGTCAGGTCAGGGCGAAGCCTTAGCCAAGTTTCCTTACTCCCCACTCCTCCACACACACACACACGCGCGCCTCTGTTTACCAGCAATCAGTAGGAATAGACCTGTTAGTCGATTGACGGGTGGCTTTACGGGGGAAATAATAATAATTTGGCCACTCGAGCCCACGGCTGTTTGTGGCGGCAGCGTTTCGCCCGCAAAGCACACAGTCACTCCACTTCGCAGCCTATCCCGTGAAGCGCTTCGAGACGTCTCGCCGACACGATAAGGCGACCGGTCAGATTGGGGATTATTATTAATATTATAGGATACCAACGGTAAACCGTCGACGGTCGGGCCTTCAGCCTCTTCGCCCCCCACTCCCCCCCCCCCCCCCCCCCCCACTCTCTGGAACTCCATCCCACAGTCCCTCCGCCTCGACCCTCCGCCTCCTTCAAAGCCCTCCTCTTCGACCGACCGCGCCTACGGACACCTTCCCCTCCCTTGACCTGGTCGGTGTTTGCAGCGCCTCGTTCCGCCACCAGAAGACCCCAGACACCAGCATTGAACCCCGGGGGGAGGGAGGGGGGGGGGAGGGAAGACGTTCCCAAAGTGCTTCCCGGGAATTTGCCGCCAAGCGCAGTGACCGGTCAAGATCGGTCGCCCGCAATCGCCCGTCCGCCTGCTTTTGGCCCCCAAAATACACAGCCACAACAACAACCCCCCCCCACCACACCCACACACACACTACACGTGAGTCCGGGAGTCACTACGCTCCACGGTGTGTCCCGGGAAGCACTTCGGGACGCCGTGCCCCGGCGTGAACCGCGAGGGGTTGTTGTTTGCGGTGATGGTAACGGCCCCCGGGCTCGGCCTTCGCCAGAGCCTGTCTTCGCAGAACCCCATCCTGAAGAACATCACCGACTACCTGATCGAGGAGGTGAGCGCGGAGGAGGAGGAGCTGATGGGCAACACGGCCACCGACACCCCCGACGAGGGGCCCAAGGAAGGCAACCCCGAGGTCAACATCGAGAGGGACGACAAGCTCATCAAGGTGGCCAGCCTCTCTCTTTCTCTCTCTCTCTCTCTGTCTTCACTCTTTCTGTCTGTCTCTCCGTCTCTCTCTCTCTCTCACTCTCTCTCTGTCTCTCTCTCGCTCTGTCTCTCTCTGTCTCTCTATCTTTACTCTCTCTGTCTCTCTCTCTCTCTCTCTGTCTCTCTCTCGCTCTGTCTCTCTCTGTCTCTCTCTGTCTCTCTATCTTTACTCTCTCTCTCTGTCTCTCTCTCTCTCTCTCTCTCTCTCTGTGTCTCTCTCTCGCTCTGTCTCTCTCTGTCTGTCTCTCTCTATCTTCAGTCTCTCTGTCTCTCTCGCTCTCTCTCTGTCTTCACTCTCTCTCTCTCTGTCTCTCTCTCTGTCTTCTCTCTCTCTCTCTCTCTCTCTGTCTTTCTCTCTCTCTCTCTCTCTCTCTCTCTGTCTATCTCTCTCTGTCTCCCCGTCTCATCTCTTGTCTGTCCGCCTATCTGTATGTCTCTCTAAAGAGAGAGAGAGAGAGAGAGAGAAAACCCGCTAAAGCTGTGTCTGACCCTCTCCAGGTCCTGGATAAGTTGCTGCTTTACCTGCGGATCGTCCATTCCATTGATTACTACAACACCTGCGAGTACCCCAATGAGGACGAGATGCCCAACCGGTGTGGCATTGTTCACGTCAGGGGCCCCCTCCCCCCCAACCGGGTCTCCCAGCACGAAGGTAAGAGCTGGTGGGGTGGGGTATGGCCCCTGTGCTCCAGTGCCCATTGTTTAATAGGAACGGGAGGAGGCCATTCAGCCCCTGCAGCCTGTTCTGCCATTCCATTCCATCAGATCTTGGCTGACCTGTAGCTCAATTCCCACTTACCCGCCTTTTGCCCCATAGCCCCTAACCCCCCCCGCCGCCGCCCTCCTCGACCTGACAAGGAGGGAGGGAGAGGAAGAGGTGGGGGGGAGAAGGGAATAGGAGAGAGGTGAGGGAGAGAGAAAAATGGCTGATCTGTTCCTCAACTCCCATTTACCCGCCTCTGCCCCCTATCCCCTACCAACCTGCCCGCTCCTTCCGCTCAGCGAGCTCCGGCCTCCCCCGCCCAGCCCTGCCCACCCCACCATCGCAGCCTCTCTGCTCCCCCCGACCCACCCTGTGGAACTCCGTCCCACAGTCCTTCCGCCCTCGCCCCCTCCCTCACCTCCCTCAAGGCCCATCTCAAGACCCTCCTCTTTGACCAATCACACCTTCGGTCACCCTCCTACCCCCCCACCCTCCCCGCCCTCCACCCCCTCTTGATCCGAACCCCTTACTGTCCAGCGCCTTGGGACGTCCTCCTGACATGAAAGGCTCCGTGTGTAAACTCACTCTCTCTCTACCCTCTCTCCTTCTACCCTCTCTTTCATTCCCCTTCTCTCTCTTTCCCCTCTCGTTCCCCCACCCCATCCCCTTTCTCTGCCTCCTCTCTCTCCCCCATCTCTCTTCTCCCCCCCCACCCCCTCCCTCCCCTCTCTCTCTCACCACCCCCACCCCCCTTTCTCGGTGGCATCCCCAGTGGCCGAGTGGCAGAAGCTGTTTGAGGAGAAGCTGACGCCTCTGTTCAGTGTGCGGGAGATTCTGTCGGAGGAGGAAGCCAACAAGATGGGGAAGAAAGATGGGGACCAAGAGGTGGAGAAGTTCATCGTGGCCAATACACAGGAACTCGCCAAAGACAAGTGGCTCTGCCCACTGAGCGGCAAGAAATTCAAGGTACAGAGAGCACAGCAGAGTCTGTAGCTCAGGGGTTAGACCCCTCGCCTCGCACCCCACAGCCCCTGTAGCTCAGGGGTTAGACCCCTCCCCTCGCACCCCACAGCCCCTGTAGCTCAGGGGTTAGACCCCTCGCCTCGCATCCCACAGCCCCTGTAGCTCAGGGGTTAGACCCCTCGCCTCGCACCCCACAGCCCCTGTAGCTCAGGGGTTAGACCCCTCGCCCCCACCCCACAGCCCCTGTAGCTCAGGGGTTAGACCCGTCGCCTCGTAAGCCAGAGGACATGGGTTCGATTCCCGGGCGGCTCAAGTTTCCTTCTCCCCACCCCCTCCCCCCCCCCACACACACACGCAGAAACACACATATACACCACACACACACACACACACAGGCCTCTGTTTACCAGCAGTACGTAGGAACATGCCTGACAGTCGATCGGTGGATGACTTTTCTGGGGGTAATGATCCCTTAAAAAAAATGTGGTTGCTCATCCCATGACTGTTTGTGGGGACATCTCTGTGCGCAATTGGCTGCCGCATTTTGTCCACAAAGTAATAATAATTTGTTGCAGTGTTTTTGACGCCTTCGAGACCTCTCGCAGAATATACCGTAAAGTGGAGTGACTGTATATTTTGTGGCGAAACGCAGCAGCCGATTGCGCCCAACTGCGTCCCTACAGACAGCCGTGGTTTCGTGCGGCCAATAAATTATTATTTATTGTTTCTTTGCTTGAGGGCTTTTTGGCGTCTCACCGACGTGATGAGGCGCTACGTCGGATGCATTTGATATCGCGCCTTAACACGCCGCCGAGAAGTCCGAAACCGTTTCGCTGTCAGGTGTAGTGACTGTGCATTTTCCCTCGTCTCCCTGCTCTGGCAGCTTCATCGCACCATCAGGGCCGGGCCATTCAGGAGCGAGATCAAGAGGTGGTTTTTCACACACACACACAAAGGGGAGTGGGAATCTGGAACTTTCCCTCTCTCTCTCCCTCCCTCCCTCGCTCTCTCTCTCTCTCCCTCTCCCTCCCTCTCCCTCCTCTCTCCCTCTCTCCCCCTCTAGAGTTTCTAGAGGTTTGTTAGGTCGGGGGATTAAGGGATGAGGGGAAAAGGCGGGTAATTGGAGTTGAGGAACAGATCAGCCATTTCTCTCTCTCTCTCCTCTCTTCCGTTCCCTTCTCCTCTCTTCCCCTCTCTCCCCCACCTCGTCCTCTCTCTCTCCCTCCCTCGCTTTTCCTCTCTCCCTCTCTCCTCTGCTCCCCTCTTTCCCCCTCACTCTTCCTCTCTCTCTCCCTCTCCCCCTATAGAGTTGATAGATGTTTGTCAGGTTGGCGAGGGTCGGGGGATACGGGGCAAAAGGAGTTGCGGTACAGATCAGCCACGAGCTGATGGAACAGGCCGGAGGCGCTGAATGGCCTCCTATTCCTATGTAGCTGTGACGGCTTTGCCCCGTGCTTGTCCACAGGGGCCGGAGTTTGTCCGTAAGCACATCTTCAACAAGCACAGCGAGAAGATCGAGGAGGTGAAGAAGGAGGTGGCCTTCTTCAATAACTTCCTGATGGACGCCAAGCGACCAGCACTGCCCGAGATTAAATCCAACCAACCGTCGGCGCCGGGGGCTCAGACCCTGGGCGAGATGTCGCTACCTCTGTGTGAGTGTGTGTGTGAGGGTGTGTGGGTGTGCGCGTGCATGTGTCTGATGCTGTGTCAAATGCAAGGATGTATATTATTATATTAACCTTCCTGTTGTTTTCCCCCCTCACCCCCCTACAGTGGGCATGACGCCAACAATGGGGTACCCTCACCCCCAACAACAGGGCTTGTTGGGGTTCGGCCAGCCTCGTCCACCCGTCATGGGTTACGGAGGTGAGACTCACACTGACCTCTACACACAGGCGCGCACACACTGTCCGGCTCAGACACAGGCCCCTCACCCAAAAACACAGGACATTTACACACGGAGCCTTTCATGTCCAAGGCGCTGGACAGTCGGGTTCGGGGGTTGGGATCGGGAGGGGGTGGAGGCCAGGGAGGGGGTGGGGGGGGGCAGGAGGGTGACTGAAGGTGCGATCGGTCGAAGAGGAGGGTCTTGAGATGGGCCGTGAAGGCGGCAAAGGAGGGGGCGCGCGAGGGGGAGTTACTGAGGGATGGAGTTCCAGAGGGTGGGGACAGAGAGGCTGAAGACCCGACCATCGATGGTCGACAAGTCTTCACCCCCACCTCCAACTCCCCCTCCCCCCCCACCCCACCACTCCTTACTCCCCCATCACTCCATGTGAAGGTCTAGCTTTCTCTTGAATGCATCTAAAGTCATGTTACCCCCATATTTCCGCCCCCCCCCCCATGCCCCTCCACCCCCTCCTTATCTCTTGTCCTCCTCCCCCCGCTCTTACCCCAACTAGCTCCCATTCCCCCCACTCTTAACTCCTACCCCAACTAGACCCCACTCCCCCCGCTCTTGCCCAACTCGCCCCACCCCCCCGCTCTTACCCCAACTAGCCCCACCACCCGCTGCCTCCCCTCGCCCGGCTCCGGCCTCCTGCTTGACCCTCGCGCCCTCCCCTCCACCATCAGTGGCCGGGCTTTCAGTCACTAACCCCCAAAACTCCCTCACTCCCTCCCTCTCTCAATCCCTCGTCCTTGCCCCCTCCCCCCCATCCTTCCCCATCTTCAGAAGACCATCCTCTTGCGGTAATCTCAGCGGCGCTCTCCGCCGCTGCCCAGGGCTCTGGGGGGCTGCGCTGTTGAAAGTTGCGACTGACTGACCCCCTTGTCCTCACCAGGTGGGCCAGCGTACCCACACCCTCAGTATGGGGGCCGGGGGACTTTTGACGGGTACAGAGGGCAGGGAGGATACCCGGGCAAGCCCAGAAACAGGTAGGTCTGAGCACAACTCATCCCTTTCTCTTTAAGATTCCCACACGGGACAGACACAAACACACGCACACACACACACGCATACAGATACACTCAGATCGACGCAAACACGGACACACACACACGCCTGTGTCCCCGGCAGTCAGTCGCTTGTCAGGCGATTGGGGGATCACTTTTCAGGGGTAGCAACCCCTTCAAAACAATAATAATTCGGTCACTTCGACCCCCGGCTGTTTGTGGGGACGTCGCCGCGCTCGGGCCACCGAAACACACAGTCACTGCACTGCACGGCGTGTCCCGTGGGGCACTTTGAGACGTCTCGACGACGTTATCAGGCGCCGGGTCACACCCCCGGGGTTATTATTGGTAGAGTTTTGGGATCGGGCTCGAGCTGAGTCAGTAGCTATCCTCGCTCCCTTTCCTGCCCGGTTCAGGGCCAAAGCCATTAATGTTGGAGCCGAACTGACTGCCAGGTTTGGCAACGGAAAGTCAGGATCGAGCCAGCTTTCTGTGGCGTCCTCGAGAATAATAATAATAATAATAATAATAATCGTCGCGTCCTCGAGCGTAGTAAAGTGTAGTGACTGGGCGTTTTGCCCAGCGACGTCCCCACACTCAGCCGTGGGTTGAAGCGGCTGATTTAGTATGTGGTTTTATTTCTTGAGGGAATATTATCAGGCGTGTGTGTGCATGTGTGCTGTGCGTGTGGGAGGGTGGGGTGGGGGGGGTGGGGGTTGGCGGGTGAGCAAGGAAACTTGCCCAAGGTTTCGAGCTGTCAGGAATCGAATCCAGATGCGATTGCTCTAACCACTGAGCTCCAGGACTCCCGGCAGAAGGGTAGTCATTGCACACAGCAGTGACCCACACACAGTCTTGCTTTGAGGGACCAAATTATTGTTTATTGGGAGGACTGTTACCCCCTCTCCTTGGAGGGGCACGTCCCGCTTACCTAATTCCGGAGAGTATGAGGCACAAGGTTGGCGTGAATCCGTGTGTGTGTGTGTGTGTGTGAGTCTGGGTATGAGTCAGTGTGTGTGTGTGAGTCAGTGTGTGTGTGTGAGAGTCTGTGTGTGTGTGTGTCAGTGTGTGTGTGAGTCTGTGTGTGTGTGAGTGAGTCAGTGTGTGTGAGTGAGTCAGTGTGTGTGTGTGTGAGTCAGTTGTGTGTGAGTGAGTCAGTTGTGTGTGAGTGAGTCAGTGGGTGTGTGAGTGAGTCAGTGTGTGTGTGTGAGTCAGTGTGTGTGTGTGAGTCAGTGTGTGTGTGTGTGAGTCAGTGTGTGTGTGAGTCAGTGTGTGTGTGTGTGAGTCAGAGTGTGTGTGTGTGAGTCAGAGTGTGTGTGTGTGAGTCAATGTGTGTGTGTGTGTGTGTGTGAGTCCGTGTGTGTGTGAGTCCGTGTGTGTGTGTGTGAGTCAGTGTGTCTGTGTGAATGAGTCAGTGTGTGTGTGTGAGTCAGTGTGTGTGTGAGTCAGTGTGTGTGTGAGTCAGTGTGTGTGTGTGAGTCAGTGTGTGTGTGTGTGAGTCAGAGTGTGTGTGTGTGAGTCAGAGTGTGTGTGTGAGTCCGTGTGTGTGTGTGTGTGTGTGAGTCCGTGTGTGTGAGTCCGTGTGTGTGTGTGAGTGTGTGTGTGTGTGAGTCAGTGTGTGTGTGAGTCAGTGTGTGTGTGAGTCAGTGTGTGTGTGTGAGTCAGTGTGTGTGTGTGTGTGAATCTGTGTGTGTGCATGTGTGAGGCAGTGTGCGTGTGTGAGGCACTGTATGGTGTGAGGCTGTGTGTATATGACGACTGATTGTGACATGTTACCTTAACTGAGGACCCTGTTAATTTGCTCCTAGGATGCTCCGAGGTGACCCCAGGAACATTGTGGAGTACAGAGACCTCGACGCCCCTGAAGATGTGGATTTCTTCTGAACAGGACCAAAATCTGAGCGCACAGCAGCCAAGCCACCGTTTTTATCCTCTCTATCTGTCTGTATCAAGGTCAGGGGACGTGTCCCCGGGGTAGGTGTTATAGTGGGTTCAGGCACTGACGCCCTCGTTTATAATGTAGAGACTGTTTCCCCCCCCTCCCCCCCCACATTGAGATTTCCGCCCGTGTCATTTTCTTTATCAAGTGTTTGAAATAAAATAATAATAATCCTGGGGTGTGACCCGGCTCCTGATGGCGTCGTCGAGACCTCTCAAAGCGCTTCACGGGACACGCTGCAAAGTGTAGCGAGTGTGTGATTTGTGGGCGAAACGCCGGCAGCCGATCGCGCCGAGCGACGTCCCCACAAACAGCCGGGGGTTGAAGTGACCAAATTATCGTTTATTTATTTGGAGGTATCATTACACCCGGAAAGTGATCCCCCAATCGACTTAACAAGTGTGTGTGTGAATTAAGGAAACTTGCGTAAGGTTTCGCCCTGACCTGACCTGCCCGGGAATCGAACCCGGGTCCTCTGGATTGCGATGGAAACCCGTCACCGTGACCGGTCGGGTGTCTGACACACACGGAAACCCGTCACCGTGACCGGTCGGGTGTCTGACACCCACGGAAACCCGTCACCGTGACCCGCCGGGTGTCTGACACACACGGAAACCCGTCACCGTGACCGGTCGGGTGTCTGACACACACGGAAACCCGTCACCGTGACCGGTCGGGTGTCTGACGCACACGGAAACCCGTCACCGTGACAGGTCGGGTGTCTGACACACACGGAAACCCGTCACCGTTGCTTAAGAGTCTCCAAACCCGACTGAGAGTTCCCCACATCGCCCCCACACCTGAAACCCCAGAGAGAGATCGTTGGGATGGAATGCGCTCTCTCTCTCTCTCCCTCTCCCCCTGGAGGGACGCCCTCTGATTACCTAATTCCGGAGAGTATTAGGCGCAGGTTGGCGAGAGCCAAGGCTTTGGGGGGAGCCCAGAGTGTGCGTTGGGGGTAACTGTTGGGGTCTAACCAACTAAACCCACACACAGCTCAGCCATCGAGAGAGAGAGAGAGAGCGCTGTGTGGCCGAGCTTTCCCGCTGTGTCCAGTGAGGACCCCCCTCCCCGTTAGTTAGTTAGTTAGTTAGTTAGTTAGTTAGTTAGTTAGTTAGTTAGTTAGTTAGTTAGTTAGTTAGTTAGTTAGTTAGTTAGTTAGTTAGTTAGTTAGTTAGTTAGTTAGTTAGTTAGTTAGTTAGTTAGTTAGTTAGTTGGGGCTTTGGCTGCGGTGGGTGGGGGGGGATTAATCGTGTACCCATAAAAAGCAAATATTATAAAAATAAGCCGCGAGAATCCGGCCAATTGCCTCCTGGCACTGAATCTTGTTTGCGTAAGGAGATGTTCTGTTTCCTTCCGCCTGGAACACAGATGCCATTGTTGGACGTGAATGGGATGAAGTGCAAATTGTTAGGAAACGGCAACTCCCTCTCCCAGCTTGTGCCGCGGACCAATAACAGGAAATGCATTACACTGGGTCATCAAAACCATTGTTATGCTCTTATTTTCGGTGGATGAACCGCAGCCAACTCAGCACTCAAAGTCCCGGAGGAGAGGGCCATGTGATCAGGGCTATGGGGAGAGAGCGGGGGGAGTGGGGTTGATCAGGGCTATGGGAGGGGAGTGGGGTTGATCAGGGCTGTGGGGAGGGAGAACGGGGAGTGGTGTTGATGAGGGCTATGGGGAGAGAGCGGGGGAGTGGGGTTGATGTTGTCTCTCAATCTTCTCCAGCGTGAACTTGCCCCAGTTTCCTCGGTTGCCCCTCACAGTCCTTAGTCCCTCCGTTCCCTGAGTCGTTTCGGTCGCCCTCCTCTGTATCTCCTCGATTTCTCCTCTTGACGCTGGCGAACTCCCTGTCCCCAGATCATGCGTAAAAGCATCGACACAAAAGAGGTCCCCGAAACAGATCCTTGTGGAACTCCACCGGTAATATATTCCCAGCCTGATGACGTTCCCTGTCCCGCCAACCTCTGGGCTCTTCCCGTCAACCAGCGTGAGTATCCCTTGGAATGCACCTCCGCTGATTCCCGCTCTCTTTACGTTGAGTTCCAGCCTTTCAAGAGGAACTCTTATCAAAGGCTTTCCTGGAGTCCAGATATACAACACCCACAACTTTGATCTTATCCGGTTCCCTTGTCACCACCACCAAATGAAAACCGGTAAATTAACCCGGCAAAACCTCCCCTCCGTGAACCCATATTGGTTATTGCTTAAGATATTATTTATTCCGGTCCGGACGCTCCATGATTTTATCCTCAAAAGAGTCTCCGGAATTCTACCCGCAACGGACATCAAACCCACGGACCTGTGGTTTCCTCTTCTGCGGTGACTTCCTCCCTTTAGTTCCTTAAGTATCCTCGGATGCAATTGATCCGGCCCCTGAGGTTTATTTAGCTCGAGTTTACACAGTTGTTTGGTTGCCGTGCTGATAGCGATGCGGAGAGAGTGCCGCAACTTCCCTCTGCGCGACTTGCTCGAGTCCTCCTTCCAGATCAGATAGATCACCCGTCTCCTCCTCGGTAAAGACCAATGCAAAGAAGAAAAAAAAACACGTTTAACGCCACTGCAGCCTGTGCGGGATTGTTTGGTCGTGTTCCCTCCCGAACCCGCCTTCGGTGGCCCTATTCCATCGCTTCGTTTCCTTCTCCTCTTCATCTAAACCTACAAAAAAAAACTTTTTGTTATTATCCTTCACATCTCTTGCCATGTTCATTCGATTCGAAGATTTTCTTTCTGACGCCTTTTTCGCGGTCCTGGTCTGCCGTCTGGTATTGAATCCGACTTAATTTGGTGCCGTTTTCCTTCATGGCCTTAAATGCTTCAGGTCCCCCTCCTCGCTCGCCCCACTATAGGCAGACGGGACTTCAGCCACTCTGTCCCCACCCTCTGGAACTCCATCCCTCAGTCCCTCTCTGTCCAGCGCTTTGGGAAGTCCTCCCGACGTGAAAGGCCTTTACACGTGGAACGTCGTTATTATAATAACCACAATCCCGGGGTTTGACCCGGCGCCTGATCACGTCTTCGAGGCGTCTCAAAGCGCTTCACAGGACACGCTGTAAACTGCAGTGACTGTGTGTTTTGTGGACAAACGCAGCAGCCGATTGAGCCCAGCAGTTGTGGATTGAGTGAGCAATTTTATTTTTTTCGGAGGGATTATTGCCCCCACAATCGCCTGACAAGCGGGTTACTACTGACTGCCGGGGACACGCGCGCGTGTGTGTGGGCGTGCGGGTGGGAGGGGCGGGGGAGTAAGGAAACCTGCCCAAGGCTTCTCCCTGACCTGAGCCGCCCGGGTATTGTCCGCTGGCTTACGAGCCGAGGCGAACCCGCCTGAGCTACAGTGACTCCACAGGTTCCATGGAACTCGATGGTTGGGTCTGAGCAGGTCTCAGCCCGTCTTCGTTGAATCGTCATCCTGGGGTTGTCTCCTCGGATCTTAAATGGCCGGGGAATGTTGGCAAGGAATGCCGACAGCTCTCTGCGGCTTGTGCCAAGCGCAGAAGGCACAGGTGTGTGAGAAATACAGACACGCACATACACACGCGCGCGCGCGCCCACGCGTCTGTGTCCCCGGCTGTCAGGCGATTGGGGGAATCACTTTCCGGGGGGTAATAACCCCTTCGAAACCATAATAATTCGGTGGCTTCCACCCCACGGCTGTTTGTGGGGAACGTCGCCGGGCGCGATCGGCCGCCGCGTTTGGCCCCCAAAGCACACGGGCAGTCACTACACTCGACAGCGTGTCCCGTGAAAAGCGCTTTGAGACACCTCGGAGACGCGGTCGGGCGCCGGGTCACACCCCGGGGTTGGTGGTGGTGTTACGACAGCAGCAAATTCGATGCGTACAAAAGAAAGGGACAAAGGGAACGTTTACCTGCGGGGAATCACTTGCCTGAGGTGACCTGACCCGCCCGGGAATCGAACCCGGGTCCTCTGGCTCGCGAGGCGAGGGGTCTAACCCCTACACGTTGCACCGACACGGTGGGCCGAATGGCCTCCCTAACAGATGTCTCACGGGATGTAATCCACGATGAACAGGGAGGGGGGGGGGGGGTCCGAGCAGGAAAGCTTAACCAAACAGCGCTCTCTCTCTCTCTGTGTGGGTTTAGCTGGTTAGACCCCAGTAGTTACCCCCCAACGCCCGCTCTGGGCTCCCCCCAAAGCCTTGGCTCTCACCCCACCCTCACTTTATAGGGATCAGTTAAGCATTCTCGGGGGGGGGGGGGGGGTTAAGTGGGGTCTCCTAGGAGCTGAATTGTTATCGGACGCGCGAACCGGGGTGGGGGGTGCGGGGGGGGGGTGGGGAATCGAACCCAGATCCTCTCGCCTGCCGGGCGGAGGCTCTAACCACTGAGCCCCAGGGATTCCCCGGGGTACGGGAGTCGGTTGTGACGGGTTTCGCAGGAGAAATAAAAGGGTGTCTGTAGACGACAGAGAGAGAGAGAGAGAGAGAGAGCGCGAGAGTGAACAAGGGAGAGAGAGAGAGAGCGAGTGAGAGAGAGGGAGCGAGTGAGAGAGAGGGCGCGAGAGAGAGTGAGTGAGAGAGCGAGTGAGAGAGAGCGCGAGCGAGAGAGAGTGAGTGTGAGAGCGAGACAGATCGAGAGAGAGTGAGTGAGAGCGAGAGAGAGAGAGAGTGAGTGTGAGAGCGAGACAGATCGAGAGAGAGTGAGTGAGAGCGAGAGAGAGAGAGTGAGTGTGAGAGCGAGACAGATCGAGAGAGAGCGAGCGAGAGAGAGGAGAGAGAGAGAGAGTGAGTGTGAGAGCGAGACAGATCGAGAGAGAGTGAGCGAGAGAGCGCGAGCGAGAGAGAGTGAGCGAGAGCGAGAGCGCGAGACAGATTGAGAGAGAGAGAGAGAGCCGTGTTGCAAACGAACCGCCTCGGAGAAGGCAACAGGGCCGTAGGTCGCCAAATCCACGGCAATAACACGGGGGGAACGGTTCGGGAGGAGAAGGGGCCGAAAGAACCGAGGAGGAGGAGGGAACACCGTTCACCGGGACTGCGGAGGCGCGGACCCGTCCTCCAGCCCCGAAAGCGGGGAAAGGCTCGAAGCCGTAACTTAAAACCGCGCCAGGTAACTCGACGGGTTAACCGACGCAACACGACGCGCCCGGAGGCTCTGCGGGCGATCGAACCGGGAACCGTTGCCGCGGGGGCTCGGATGCCCTTGCGACG